CGAGAGGAATGATTTCATGAGACTTTATCACCAGTGATTTAACGATAAATGCCCAATGGGGTAGACGTTAGAGACAAAAAGACTAGCAACTTATTGCAAACCATTCTCAGGAAGAACACGGGAGACAGAACTACAGGTGTTTTTGTTCTAAGACTGTTGTGTGTGAGGAATGAGCCAAGTCAAATGACTCAAATGAATCATGCCGACAGTGGGATTCTTCTGAAAAGAAGAATGTCCTGCCCAATGCCATGTTCCTGTTCCCACTGCTCCAGCTACCAGGGGAGTGAGCTTGGCTTTGGAGTCCACGTGTCTATTCTAGTCATGGCTTGGCCTTCCCGGTCAGCTCCACCACTCCCCCTGTCCCCGCCATCGGCCACAGATCACACACACACACTGCCTCAGATCCCGCACTCACACTCTCCCTCACTCCACACAGCGCGGCCTTTGATTACATTTTTTTAAATCCTTTTATTAGGGGTTCATACAACTCATCGCAATCCATACATATAGCTTTGATTACATTTTTTCAAAGAATCCTTATCTTCTAGATATAAGCAAAAGTGCTTACTGCTTAAAGGATATGCCCAGCCTTCACTTCTAAATAATTGAGGGGCAAGGATGGATTTGTGGGGATTAGGTGAAACAAGATTGACCCAGAGAAGATAATTATTGAAACGGAAATGTTGGGCACATGGAAGCTTGGTATGTTACCAAGGGGTGTTGGACCACCGAGTGGATGAAGAGAACTAAGGGGATCGGCCCTTTCCGATTCTGAGTCTGGTCGTGGGATTTTACATTATTAGCTTGGGAGTATTGACATTATGAAAATCGACGACACTACAAAAACCAGAGCGCTATTTTCACCCAAGGAACTAGCTGTTGAAAATTTATCAGCATATTATGTGACTGTGATTCCCTTTGCTTTTGCACATTAAATTTTTTGCATAATAAAATGTTCTTAATGAAATTATAAGAACTAGGTATACACCATCACTAGATGCAACCGCTTTCACAGAGACAGGGCTCAACAGCCTAACACAAGGGTGTTATCCAAATGCCAGAAGCTTTCAGGGCACCCAGGTACTCGTTACCCAAAGGTACTACGAAACCAAATGAATGTGTGAAATTCCATTGATTCACAGTTCTCATTTGCCTCCCCAAAATCTAAGGAGTCTATAACAAACTCCTAAAATTTTTTAAAAATTTAAAAACTAAGGTACTAACTAGGCAATGAAATTTTCCAAGAATCATTACTAAAGGGTCTCTCATGAGGGGTGTGGTGTTATATGAAACCACACGTATGTGGCTGTTGACTTTTCAAGTCTAGTTTTGAATAGTCTTCCCAAGGGATTTGAATACACACCCTTCCACCCTTTCCACTTCTCTCACCTTCATCCCTGAGGGTGAGAACCTTTCATCTAATTCACAGTCCACCTGCACCTACTTCCCTCCCTCCCTTCTGACCGGAGCACAACGGCAGGGTCTCGCTCAAGGCCTCCTGGAAAATCCACAGCTCACTCCGGGTCAGTTCTTGACACAGTGCTTACCCAGTTACAGAAACTTGGTGGGACAAATTATGTGTCTTCTGATGAGAGACAGAGGGGAGCTAGCATAGTCATTCTCAACCTGGGTGCACATCAAAGTTACCTGGGAAACTGAAAAAAAAAAAAAAATCCTGATGCCCCAAGGACTCACCCTCAGAGATTCATTCATCCAAGATTCTGATATAATTATTAGGGGGTAGGTTCCAGGTGAGACAGGAACTCCACCCCCATTCGAGGGGTAAAAGCACAGGGATCACCTCAATCTCGTGCTATTGTTACCTCAAGTCTAGGCGAGAACAAAGTCAGAGGGCTAATGCTAACGTCAGAGTTAGTAACTCCATGGTTCCGATGCTGTAAACTGCTGGTTTGTTGACGCCCCTTCCTGCCACATGTTGGAACCAGCCAATCCTAACCCTGCACATCTCCTTCCACCCCTCCTGAAATGCACCAAGGGTCCCACCCCTTTATAGGTAGGGTCCTCTCTGAGGTTGGAGCTCAGTCTTTGGAAAGGAATCCACTGAGCCACATGCCTCCACAAGGATAAAGTTCCTTGGTTACAACAGCTAGGCATTGTCTGCTCCTTCAAAGCGCCTAGCTCCACAGTGAGTCAGTGCCTAAAACAAAGGCAACACTGACAACCCAGGATGCATCCTAAGCCTGAATAGTCCAAATGACATCTTGAGTACCCTCCAGGCACTTTCTGACCACCAACCTGCCAAGGGGACAGGAAGGGCCATCGTCCCAAGGAAATAGGAAAGAACAGTAGCACTGAGCAATCTCCTTGGCCAGCCTAGAAGGGATGGAGGCGCAGGTTAGGATGAAAGAGGAATATACACATTAAATAAACGGGAACCTAAACAAGGGATCCGTAAAGA